GACTCCAGGTATAATTCTAAACTCGTTCGAGGACGAACGTTTGTTTAATAGAGGGAGAATATAACGACTCGGTCGGTCATTTTGAGTATTACAATCTCGTTCCCCCATTTACTGCTCAATTTATTCTTACATTTGTTATGTGACTTATCGGGGGTAATTGGTTCGGGTCCAGTGAGGTTTTGGAATGATTTGGAACACTTAGTTCCAAGGTTTAAAACTTAAGTTGAAAATGTTGACTATTGTGTAATGACCCCGGAGAATTTTTGCTAAGGAAATTAAGGTTTGAACAATGCACTGAGGGGTAATGGAAAATTTTTGGCAGAAGAGGACATTTTTGCGGCCCACTATGCGGTCGCAGAATCACTCTGCGGACCGCATAATGGCCGCAGAGTGAAGCGGATGTGAGGCAAGATTTGAGGCAAATCTACGGTCGATTATGTGACCGTAGAACTATTTTGCGGTGTATTATGTGACCGCGGAATAGGTATGCGGGCTGCATAATCACCGCAGACCTATCCAGGAGACCCTCGTTTTGGAGCTTCAATTATGCGGTCAATTTGCGGACCACATACGTGTTATGCGATCGCATAACTGCATCTGGGCTTCCATTCTTTCTAATTTTTGACCCGACCCAACTTCGATTTATAGCCCTTGAAGCTCATTTTGGAGCAAAAATGTGACATTTTGGAGAGAAAGGAGAGTGTTCTAGAGAGAGGAAGAAACTCAAGTTCTATGTTCATCAAGATCTTGTCCAATCTTTGAAATCCAACAAGGAAATATCACAAGATCTTCACCTAAGAGGTAAGGTTCTAATCCCTAGTCTTCAATTTCGAGTTTGGGTAAAGATGGGTGATTAAGAGTATGATTCTTGGGTGTAAAAGTATTATTTATATGTATCAATAAGGTTTATGAAAATATTGTTGAGTTCAAATGGGTAAAGATTGGGTTGGAAATGGTAGAAATTTTCGAAGACTTTAATTGAAGATTTGAGGGTCGAGTTGATGTCGGAATTTGGTAAAATTTGTATGGTTGGACTCGTGGTTTGATGGGCGTTCATATTTTGTAACTTTTGTCGGGTTCCGAGATGTGAGTCCCACGGGCGATTTTTGAGTTACTTTCGGATTTTTATTGAAAAATTTGTATTTCCTTATGGAATTAATTACAATAATTGGTATTGAATGAATCGAATTCATTGTGGCTAGATACGAGGCTTTCGGAGACCAATTCTCGTGGCAGGGGCATAGCAGAATAAAGAATTTCACGGTTTGAGATAAGTAACAGTTCTAAATTTGGTCTTGAGGGTATGAAACCCCAGATTATGTGTTATGTGATTGGTTTTGAGGTGACGCACATGCTAGATAACGGGCGTGTGGGCGTGCGTCGTAGGAATTGTGACTTGGTCAAATTTCATAGAACTGTGTGGTTGAATTATCTGTTGATATCCGTAAATCCTCTACGTGTTAGAGAAAATTGAGCTGAGACTCGTATTAAAAATCATGCTTAGACATATGTTGTTATTATTGGTACCCACTAGGGTCATTTTCTGTGGTTGAATTATATGTTCAAATTGTAATTTCACACTCAGTCATGTTCATTCATTTCATATCATATCTCAGTCTCTGTTGCTATTTATTGATGCATCATATCATCATTTTTGGACTGATTTTCATGACATCTTGAGCCCGAGAGACTGGAGAGGTTGATGATTGAGTAAGTCGAGGGCCTAATTGTGAGGATATTTATGGGATCGGGTTGCACGCCGCAGTATGTTTCATTGATTTATTCCATGATTGTCTTATTATAGCGCTTGGGCTGTAGGATCCCCTCCGGAGTCTGTACACACAACCAGTGAGCGCAGGTACCTACTGAGTGCGAGTGCCGAGTGCCGAATGATGAGCGACTGTGAGGAGAGAGTGACTGTGAGATTGGAGTGAATGGGAGGACTGAGTGACTGTTACTCTGAGAGTATGCATTAATTTCATTATTTGCTGCATTTCAGCTGTCATATATCACTATTTTAGAAATTTTGGAAAAATATTATTTTCTGTTTCAGTCAAAATTTGATATGAAATTACTGTGGAGTTTTAAATGTTGAACTTGAAAGCATGCCTACCATTTTTATTGGAAAGTATTGTATTTGGACTTAGTTGAGAAGCTCATCACTACTTTCAGTTCCTTATTTATTATTGTTACTTACTGAGTTGGTTGTACTCATACTACACCATGCACTTTGTGTGCAGATCCAGGTGATCCCGAATATAGTGGGTGTTAATTCTTTCACACAGTTGATTTTTTGGAGATTCAGAGGTAGCTGCTATGTTTCGCAGACCTTGTCTCTCATTCCCTATCCTTTTGTTTATTGTATTTGGTCTCGGATTATTATAGACCGGGTTTTCCAGACTTGTAATGTATAGATGCTCATGTACTCAGTGACATCGGATTTTGGGAGTGTGTTTATTTCTAATGTTTGTGAGATTTACTCTTAAACTTAATTATTATGTTTTCAGTATTTAAAAGAAATTGTGGGTTATTGATGTTATCGACTTTTCTAGTATCGAGATAGGCGCCATCACGACGGGTGAGATTTTGGGTTGTGACAGATAAATAAGGGTCTTGACATGATAGGGGCAAGACTGCTATTATAGATTTGACACTGTTAGATTTCACTCTTAAAGTTCTATTGATTCTCATGAATTTTACAGATGATTAGCTTATACTTCTAATTTAGATTTATCTTTCGATTAATTTTAAATTTTTCAAATAAACTAATATAAAGAGCAGTGAAACTTGTAAATATCTATTGGTAGGAATGGTCTAAGAGAAACTTCTCGCGAATATTTTTCAACCCTAATTCAAACGGTAGGTCACAAAGCTCTTTCGATTGATTTAAAGAACCACGAATTAAAATTAAGGCATGTGTTGCAACAATATTCAATATTATGTTCCTCTTCCGATTAAACAAGATAAAATTGCAACTAGAGTTAAAGCTCTCTAACGAATTCAAGCAATTAAATAATAATCAAATCCATGGACGACAACCAAGTTGATGAGGCCAATGTGTATAAGATATTTCTGCTCATGCTTTGTCAAATTCTAGTATAGTTTATGATATCGTCCTACAGAGACTAGAAAATCTATTCAATATTTTAACTACTATTTGAGAGAATCAGATTGATGAAAAGTTTGTGGAATTAAAACTTGTTAAATACTTAGCAAAATTAAACAACTTTCGAAAGATTTATAATTTAAAAGAGTCGGGAATCGTTGAATTCACTTGATAATATATTATAATAAAATCTCACTTTATACATGCATTTCTTTAAAGGATAATTGCTTATTGCTATTACAATTATATCTTACCTTACCAAGAAGTAATCAACTAATAACACTCTGTGAGGTTATGTAATTAATTGAGTTATAACTAATAATGGTTAAACCGAAATATTTTCTGGTCTGAATTGTGCTAAAAGATAGTAAAGATTTCGTGAGAATATTTTTACTAAAATCAATACTCCTACGACTACAATTCCTCCGTGAGAATTAAAATTGAGTCAAGCAAGATTACCGACTTTTAATAATAGCTCACTAAAAATTACTCTTACTCCACTATTTTATTCATGAGTAGTTACTATATATTAATTTTTCTCCGTGAGGATTACAAAATTAATATAAGAATAACTTAGAGATAAAATATATAGAAGTGATAACAATGATAAGTTAAAAACCATTATTATAGCACAATATAAAATATAAATCGAAAGTTTCAAACCAAGAATGTATTAAAACTGAGATAGTATTATAATATTTATCAAGCTTCATCAACTATCCCAACAAAAAAAAAAGATTACTACATTATGAAGTAAGAGAAAAACTAATTTAGAAACAAAGAACTTATGAAGAAATATTATTCTTCTAAAAGAAAGACAACTAGGAGAAAATACTAAAGACAAAAGAGAGAGACCAAATAATAGTTTTCTCTGCCCAAGACTCTCCCCCTCACAATACAATATGAGTGCCTATTTATAGGAAATATGTAGCAAAGGTGAGATGATGTTGCAACTTTAAGTCTTGATGTTGTGACTTCAAAACTTGATATTGTAACTTCAAAACTTGATGTTGTGGCTTCAAAATTTGATGTTGTGACTTCAAAGTTCCATTCACTCTTGTTTACCATGTGCATTGCTCTTTTTCCTCCTTGTTTTGCTTGTAGTCCCCTTTCCTCAATTCATCTTTCCTCCGCAAAACTTGTTAAAAAATATAGGAGAATCGAATATATTTATTCATGTTTTATTTAAAAATCCTTAATTTATACGTATGAAAATACATTAATAATTTATATTCATCAAATCCCCCACACTTCAACTTTTACTCGTACTCGAGGAAAAAGCAATTTTTTTTGAACAACTTTCTTCAAAAATCATTGTTAGCCTTGTGGAGAGAAAATTTATTCAAGATAAGGATTTCTTCATTTCTCAAAACTAATTAATCTTTTCAACTTCACAAAACATTTACCTTGCTTATGATTCCATCTTTGTTTGGCAAGAACTTGCATTTCTTCTCCCTATGACTCTTAAGAATTGATAAATTTATGACCACCATTACTAAGAATTATATTTCTTTATCCATAGGCTTGCTCGTTATGTAAATCACCACTGATGTAGTTTAAACACTATTTTCTGAAATCTTTTAGGGTTTTTTCAGTTTGTAATGTTAAGTTTCAGGCTGGTAGGATAAAAGGAATATTTATAGTGACTTTTGTTTTTGTAGCTATTGAAGCAATATATATTCTGAAATTTTGAAGCAATTTTCTCCTTTTTTTGAATAATACTTTCTGTACAATAGAAATTTTCTCTATATAGGAAGAATCTATATGTATACTGCTTCTTTGCCTTTTATGCCGCTATTTTTTCCTTTCTCTCTCTTTTTTTTAATTAAGCTTCATCTTTGAATTCATCTGCAAGATCACTAATCATGTCAATAGAAAAGCATGAAGGAAAATCTTAGTATCTTTGCATATCAAAAATGACTCTTTCTTCGTCAACCCTCAAAATTAGTTGTCCTTGATGAACATCTATAATTTCTCTTCCTGTAGCAAGAAATGGTCTACCCAAAATTATTGGTTCATTAGGACATTCTTTTATTTCAAGCACTATAAAATCTACAAGGAACACAAACTTATCTACTCTTACAAGAACATTTTCAATTATTCCTTTAGGTTTCTCAGTACTTTGATTTGCAAACTGAAGAGAAACACTTATGTCTTTCATTTCACCAAGATCCAATTTTCTAAAGATAGAAAATGGCATCAAATTTATTGAAGCTCCAGAATGACAAAGTGCTTTTTCAAAATATACTCCTCCCAAAGTGCATGGAATGGTAAAACTGCCAGGATCACCAAATTTTTGTGGTAGCTTATTTTGAAGTATAGCACTGCATTTTTCAGTAAGTATTACCACAGAAACTTCTTCCAATTTAATTTTGCTTGACAAAATTTCATTTAAAAATTTAGCATATGAAGGCATTTGCAACAAAGTATCAGTGAAAGAAATATTAATATGAATTTGTTTCAAGATTTCCAAAAATTTTGCAAATTGACCATCAAGCTTTTCTCGCTTCATTTTTTGTGGAAAAGGAATTGTCACAGGTGGGGCAGTCATTTTTTCAGAATGTTTTTCTTCCTTATTATTTATTTCTTTCTCCTTTGATGGTTTCGATGGTTTTTCAATATTCTTATCATTTGTCTACTTGTTGTTCTGTCACGACCCTTAACTAACCCTGTCGTGATGGCGCCTATCGTGGAACTAGGTAAGCCAACTAATTTCCAAAAATCAAACCGATATTTCCATTTCAAGGGAAAATGTAAGGTTATTTAACATAAAAACCTTCGTAAAGGAGTTCAAATCAAAACAAAAGTGCGGAAAAGAAAAGCCCTATATCGGGGTGTCACTAGTCATGAGCATCTACTATAATTTGTCTGAAAATATCAAGACTAACATAGTTTGAAAAATAGCTAAATACAACTAAAGGAAGATAGGAGGGAGAAGAGCAGGGTTGCGATGGCCAGGCAGCTACCTTGCTATCCCCGAGAAAATCTACAAACGGAATAGTCAACAGCCACTACCGTGTCCAGCTACACCTGGATCTGCACGCAAGGTGCAGGGAGTAACGTGAGTATGCCAACTAAGTAAGTAACAATAATAAATAAAGACTGAGCAGTAGTGATGAGCAACAAAGCATATAAAGTTCATATCATGAAATCTCGGTAAAAATACAACATGCTTTAAAAATCAATGTTTGAATCAAATCATCTCGTTTAAAACCCAGTTCCAGTAAAAAAATCGTTTAAAGATATTTTTCAACAGTTTCAAACAGAGGCTCAATGCAAAGGTGAGCAAAAAATGATGAAATCATAAACAACTCCTCGGGCAAAACATCACTCATATACAGCCCCTCGGACAAACCTCGCAGTCACTCATGCCTCTTGGGCATACCTCACAGTCACTCATGTTACTCGGGCATACCTTACAATCACTCATGCCTTCCAGTCACTCAGCACTCGTACTCAGTAGGTACCTGCACTCACTGGGGGTGAGTACAGACTCCGGAGGGGCTCCTTCAGCCCAAGCGCTATATCAAGCCAAATCATGGCATAAATCACTCAGGCCCTCGGCCTCACTCAGTCATAAAGCTACTCGGGCATTCCAGTAAAGCAGGGTGTTCAGCCCAAAAACAACATTTATATGCATCAAAATAGAGTAATAAAAACTGAGTATAGATTTTCAATCGAAAACAGTGAGAGGATAGTAAGAAAAGGCCCCTAAGGGTCCAAACAGCACTGGCACAAGGCCCAAAACATGACATTCAACCCAATTTACAAAAACTCTTTCTAAAACATATAAGTACCACATAGTTTCAACAAAATATGCAACTTTACAGTTGCTACGGGACGGACTAAGTCAAAATCCCCAACAGTGCATGTCCACACGCCCGTCACCTAGCATGTGTATCACCTCAAAATAGTAGAATGATATGAAATTTGGGGTTTCATACCCTCAGGACTAGTTTTACAATCGTTACTTACCTCAAATCGATCAAATCTCTACCCCGTGATGCTCTTGCCTCTCGACTCGGCCTCCAAATGTTTCGAATCTATTCACAATCACTATAATACCATCAATATACGCTAATGGAATGAATTCCACAAGAAAAACTATCAAATTATACCAAAATCCCGAAATTGGCTCAAACCCGGCCCCCATGCCCAAGTCTCGAAATCCGACAAAATTTACAAAACTAGAAAGCCCATTCACTCATGAGTCCAACCATACTAGTTTTACTCAAATCCGACTTCGAATCGACCTTCAAATACCAAAAATTCATTTTATAAAGTTTCTACAATTTCCCCCAAATTTCCACCTCAAAGTAATAATCAAATGATGAAATCATTGATATATTCATGTATATTAACCAAATTCGGGTTAGAATCACTTACCCCGATGAATTTCTTGAAAAATCCATGAATAATCACCAGAAACCGAGCTCCCTAGGTCACAAATATGAAATAATACCCTAAACCCCATTTATATAGTGCACCTCTGATCTCCCACTTCGCGGTCCACGAAAGTTTTAGCGCGGCCGCGAAACAATGGTGCGGTCCGCGAAATTCTTGGGGCTGCACTGTCATGCTTTAGTATTTTGGCCATAACTTTCTCTACATATGTCCAAATACTGACTTCTTTACCCTTCTGGAAACTACACACGAAGGGCTACAACTTTGGTTTTAAAATCATCTCAAAATTCAAAGACTATTCACTCACGAGTCCAACCATACTAGTTTTACTCAAATCCGACTTCGAATCGACCTTCAAATCCCAAAAATTCATTTTATGAAGTTTCTACAATTTTTCCCAAATTTCCACCTCAAAGTACTAATCAGAAGATGAAATCATTGATATATTCGTGTATATTAACTAAATTCGGGTTAGAATCACTTACCCCGATGAATTTCTTGAAAAATCCATGAATAATCGCCAGAAACCGAGCTCCCTAGGTCACAAATATGAAATAATACCCTAAACCCCGTTTACATAATGCACCTCTGATCTCCCACTTCGCGGTCCGCAAATTTTTGAGCGCGGCCGCGCCCCGGGTCCCGCGGTCGCGAAACAATGGTGTGGTCCGCGAAATTCTTGGGGCTGCACTGTCATGCTTTAGTATTTTGGCCATAACTTTCTCTACATATGTCCAAATGCTGACTTCTTTACCCTTCTGGAAACTACACACGAAGGGCTACAACTTTGGTTTTTGAATCATCTCAAAATTCAAAGACTATTCACTCACGAGTCCAACCATACTAGTTTTACTCAAATCCGACTTCAAATCGACCTTCAAATCCCAAAAATTCATTTTATGAAGTTTCTATAATATTCCCCAAATTTCCACCTCAAAGTACTAATCAGATGATGAAATCATTGATATATTCGTGTATATTAACCAAATTCGGGTTAGAATCACTTACCCCGATGAATTTCTTGAAAAACTCATGAATAATCGTCAGAAACCGAGATCCCTAGGTCACAAATATGAAATAATACCCTAAACCCCATTTATATAGTGCACCTCTGATATCCCACTTCGTGGTCCGCGAAATTTTGAGCGCGGCCGCGCCCCGGGTCCCGCGGTCGCTAAACAATGGTGCGGTCCGCGAAATTCTTGAGGCTGCACTGCCATGCTTTAGTATTTTGGCCATAACTTTCTCTACATATGTCCCAATGCTAACTTCTTTACCCTTCTGGAAACTAGACACGAAGAGCTACAACTTTGGTTTTTGAATTATCTCAAAATTCCTTATAGATCAAAAGATTTAGGCTTTCGAAGTCGTACTAGCGGATCTACAGAACTTCCAAGCGCGGCCACGAAATTCTGCCGCAGTCCGCGAAATTCCAAGCGCGGCCGCGAAATTCTGCTGCGGTCCGCGAAATTTAAAGCACCAGAACCATACCTGAGTTCCGGAAATGCCCGGACTCGCTCAAAACTCACCCGAAACACACCCGAAACTCACCCGAGGCCCCATGGACCTCAACCAAATGTACCAACCAATCCTACAACAACATACAAACTTAGTCGAACCTTCGAATCACTCAAAACAACATCAAAACATCAAATTACCCTCGGATTCAAGCCTAAGAACTTCTAAATTTCCAAATTCGACAACCGATACCGAAACCAACCAAACCACGTCTGAATGACCTCAAATTTTGCACACACGTCACAAATGACACAACGAACCTACTCCAACTTCCTGAATTTCATTCCGACCCCGATATCAAATGTTTCACTACTGACCAAAATCGTCAAATTTCTAACTTTCGCCAATTCAAGCCTAATTCTACTACGAACCTCCAAATCACATTCCGGACGCACTCCTAAGTCCAAAATCACCTGACGGAGATAACGAAACCATCAGAATTCAAATCCAAGATCGTTTACACATAGGTCAACATCCACTCTGAAACCACTCCGGACCCGAACCAACTAACCCGCTATCATAATATAGCTTAAAAGCATAAAGGAAGCAGAAATGGGGGAAATGGGGCTATAACTCCCGAAACGATCGGCTGGGTCGTTACATCCTCCCCCTCTTAAACAACTATTCATTCTCGAACAGGTCTAGAAACATACCTGGAGTCTCGAATAGGTGTGGATATCTGCTCCGCATCTCCCGCTCGGTCTCCCAGGTGGCCTCCTCCACAGGCTGCCCTCTCCACTACACCTTCACTGAAGCTATGTCCTTTGACCTCAACCTTCGAACCTGCCAATCCAAAATAGCCACCGGCTCCACCTCATAAGTCATATCACCCTCCAACTAAACGGTTCTGAAATCCAAAACATGGGATGGATCTCCAATATACTTCCGGAGCATGGAAACATGAAATACTAGGTGCACACTCGACAAGCTGGGTGGCAAGGCAAGCTTATAAGCCACCTCCCCTATCCTTTGAAGCACCTCAAAAGGCCTAATGAATCGGGGGATCAACTTGCCTCTCTTCCTAAACCTCATAACACCCTTCATGGGTGATACCTTCAGTAAAACCTTCTCCCCCACCATGAAAGATACATCACAGACCTTCCTGTTCACGTAGCTCTTTTGCCTAGACTGCGTCGTGCGAAGCCGCTCCTGAATTAATTTCACCTTATCTAATGCATCATGGACCAAGTATGTACTCAAGAGTCTAGCCTCACCCGGCTCAAACCATCCAACCAGAAATCTACACCTCCTCTCATATAAAGCCTCGTACGGATCCATCTGAATACTCTACTGATAACTGTTGTTATATGCAAAATCCGCGAACGGCAAGAACTGGTCCCATGAACCCCCAAAGTCAATGACACAAGCGCACAACGTGTCCTCCAATATCTGAATAGTGCGCTCGGACTGCCCGTCCGTCTGAGGGTGAAAAGTTGTGCTCAACTCAATCTGAGTACCCAACTCTTGTTGCACGGCCCTCCAAAACTGCGATGTGAACTGAGTAGCCCTATCTGAAATGATGGAAACTGGGACACCATGCAGGCGAACAATCTCTCGGATGTAAATCTCAGCCAACCGCTCTGAAGTATAAGTAGTACTAACTGGAATGAAGTGAGCGGACTTGGTCAG